TAATTTTTGTAACTCATTTTCATTAATGTAATACCAAATTGTTCAATAAAGACCGAGGCCAGGCCTCACTCTTAAAATAAAAAAAAAAAAAAAAAAAAATATACCATTTAATAAATATATAAAAAATCTTTAGAATATAAAGTCTAGCAGAAGAACAGATATAATGTAAAAATTAAACTTAAGTGTTGTGTTTAAGTTTATATTGGACATTCAATTCTTCGATGACTTTAAAACTTTGTTTTTCTGATATTTATATAGTTTTTAACAGTATTTTCAAAGGTTTGAAGCGAAAAGTATTCGAGGCAATCTCATAAAAAATTTTACTGTAATAAATTTCTTTAAAGATTTTTTTTATTATTATCAAAATACAACAAGAGGAAACGTCGTTGTTACATGAATGATCCTTCACCCGGTGTGCAACATATAAAAATATTTTACAATACCAGATAATTCCGCTAGTACATGGTATGATTATAATCCAACACCATTTTTATTATGATAAAATTATGTTCATAACATGTACTAACGGAATGTTCTGGTATTGTAAAATAATTGGTTTATATGTTGCACACCGTGTGAAGGATCAGTCATGTTACACAGAAATTTCCTCCTGTTTCAAATACGTACTTGAATTTGATGCACGTACATTATATTTTAAATAATAAGCATAAATTTGCTTTATTCCGGCAATACGTATGATAGTACATATGATGCATTAATTATAGTTACTTACATATCGGTATAAATAGTAAACACTATGCAAGTATTATATTTGTATAATATAGTATGATAATTTGAGATAACATCACGTTGGCATGGTGATAATTTTTGAGAAATTTACAAATAAGGGCCCGGAAAATGAAAAAATAATTACAAATACGAGCCCAAATTAAAAATAATTACATAAAAGGCCAATTTTTAAAAATATTACATATAACGGCCCAAAATAACAGCGACATTATTCAAACCTATGGCTTGATCGTTATTAGCATAAGAAATATAACATCGATAAATATAGTTATTAAGTACATAAAAAATGTAACGATAAATCGTAAATTAGTAATTATAAATGAGAAAATTTTTATTTTCTTTGTATAAAATCGGTTATTATATATAACAAACCAATATGATATCAAGTAAAGCACTGTGAATTGGAATAACATTTACTAATATGAAAATAATTGTTCTGCTCTTGAGAGCTACTCTGTTGAACTTCATCATCTTATAAATAATTGTGCTAGTTTAACACTTTATACAATATTTAAACGAAAATGATTGTAGCCAGCGCTTTATTTATTTTTTTATCTAATAATTGATTGTATGTCTAGATAACTCTTAATCAATAATCCTATAATCGTGATTTTGCTATTGTTATAAGTCAAATGGTCATAGTACTTTGTGGCACAGTAGTTCCGTGATACGTTTTCATCCATCAATAGACTTATGCCCCTATATGTAATATTTGACCCTCATGTGTAATTATTTTTAGTTTAGGTCCATATTTTCACTTTCCGGGTACTTATTTGTAAATCCCTCTTAATTTTTTTGGGGAATTACTATTCGCACCATGGATTTTTTGCTATTTGCACCATGGTACGTAACTAACATTATGAAAATCCACTTACCCTAACTCTAACTAATTCTGGTCATGATCTACATACCATGGTGTGAATAGCAAAAATCTATGGTGCGAATAGCAGTTCTCTTTTTTTTTGATTAGATGCTATATTGGTATTATAGTATGGCGGTCATTGATCATGAACTATACCGTTTATGTTTTTTAAAAAATCTCTTTAATTCATGTAATAAAATGAAAGTAATTTTATAACATAAACGGTGTAATACTCATGATCAATAGTGGCCGTGATATAATAGAAACTTGGAAATTTCTGTACATAGTAACTAGTCATTAGCTTGATTTTTTACTCCATTCTATAGCTCACGATCTCTTTATTACTGTATAAAAAGATTCATCCGTAAATATATGTGAATTAGTAAATTGTCTTGTGCAGTCATTTTTTCGCTTTCTATATATAAAACTTAGACCACATATAATAAGGTTTAACATGATGTGCGACAAATGCATCGACTGTAATAGCCAAAGAAAACTTTTAGATGAGAGTAAATTACGTACCAAATGTTATACCCAAACACAGTTACATAATTTTAGCAGCGGAAATCAAGATATTGACAATTTAATTAAGGCAACACATAATAATAAGCCCGAATTTAGATTAGAGTGGATCCCATTCGAGGATTTTACAAATATAAAACAAATTGGAAATGGTGGTTTTAGTGATATCTATATGGCCAATTGGACAAGAAGAACATCAACAAGTTGGAACGAAATAGGAAAAATATTCGATCGAACGGTTGTATTAAAAGTCCTTAAGGATTCTAAAAATATTAATTCAGCATTCTTAAAGGAGGTAATAATAGATAAGCATCATCTTAATTATCAGTAGATTACTCTAAACATTTTTCATTTTTTCTACAGTTACAAAATATCGTTAAAAGTCAACCTAATTCCTACATGCACCGCATTATTCAATGTTATGGAATATCCCAATTTCCAAAAACAAATGATTATATTTTTGTTATGTCTTATATGTCTAATGGAAGTCTAAATGATTTTTTATCTAAAAATTTTAAAAATGTTACTTGGAAAATGAAACGTGATTTTCTTAAGGATATTGTTACAGGCATTAAATGGATTCATAAAAATACACTTTTACACCGCGATATACACGGTGGAAATATATTAATAGGCAATAGTCTTGATTCTAACACCTTAATTTCTGATTTAGGATTTAGTCGACCAGCAAAAGATGATTTGGAAAGTTCAGAACCTAAAATATATGGAATAATGCCATATATTGCACCTGAAGTGTTTAATAAAAAGCAATATTCATTTAGTTCAGATATTTACAGTTTAGGAATGATTATGTGGGAACTTACAAGTGGATATCGCCCTTTCTATGATCGACCATATGATTTATATCTTGCACTTGATATATGTAATGAATTACGGCCAAATATTACTGAAGATACTCCACACTGTTGGGCTATTTTAATGCAAAAATGTTGGCATTCAGATCCCTTAAAAAGGCCAACTATTGATGAAATATTCGATGAAGTAAATTCTAGATATTGGAATGAAAATGAAAGTTTTATAAAAGAAGCTGAAAATAAACGACAAGAATTACTTAATGCTGGGAAATTAACTGTTAAATATTTACATCCTCATTCTAAAACTCACAGTCAATTATTAAATCCTGCTATAGATTCTATTCTTTTAGATTTTCATCAAGGCTCAAAATCTTTTACATTACGCCGTATAGATTCTTTTCAAAGCATTAGCGACGATTCATTTAATATCATGTAAATAATTAAGTTTCTTTTTTATAAATTGGAAATTTGAAATAATAAATTAATTTTTCTAATTTAAATGGATACCCAGTCCTGAACATTTTAATAACAACAACAGTATAAATTCAACGATAAACATATCACCTTCAAAAAAACACACTAGCGAATTTTTACCAGATGAAAATAATTATAGTAAGTTTTAATTAATATTTATTTTATCTATCTCAACGTATTACTGGACTTATTTTACGGTATTATATTTACAAGTTGAAATAAAACGAAGAAAACTATCAGACAATGGTATACTCTATAATATTAATTATAATCTCTAACATCTTTAACCTGAATTTTCGCTTAAATAGAATAAAATAATATATTTATATACGAATTCAAATTATTCAATTAAATAGATTTACAGCCATATACTTTATCATTAAATGATGCCATTTATCAAATTACCAACCTGAGCAATTTGAATTTAAATCATGATAAGCTATGTTATGAGGTGGGAAACGCTCTATCTGAAGCTCTACGCGTAAACCACACTTTAAAACGCTTGGATTTAAGTTCAAAAAATCTATGCAATGGGGCAGGGCAAGGATTAGCTGAGGCATTAGGTAATAATAACACATTAACGAACTTAAATTTAGAAAACAATTATCTTGGTGACGATGCAGTAATGGCTCTAGCTAAAGCTCTGTATAAAAACACCACTCTTATGTGTTTAAATTTATATAATAATCGATTTGGCGGTAAAGCTGTAAAATTATTGGCTGAAGTTTTATGCAAAAATACCACCTTATCTAATTTAGATTTAAGATCGAATAATCTTGGTGAATTAGGAGGAAAAGTACTGGCTGAAGCTTTATGCAAAAATACCACCTTAACTTATTTATATTTAGGATCGAATAATCTTGGTGAATCAGGAGTAAAAGTACTGGCTGAAGCTTTATGCAAAAATACTACCTTAACTAATTTATATTTAGGTTCGAATAATCTTGGTGAATCAGGAGTGAAAGTACTGGCTGAAGCTTTATGCAAAAATACTACCTTAACTAATTTAGATTTAAGTTCGAATAATCTTGGTGAATCAGGAGGAAAAGCATTGGCTGAAGCTTTATGCAAAAATACCATCCTAACGAATTTAAATTTAAGATATAATAAAATAGGTGAATCAGGAGGAAAAGCACTGGCTGAAGCTTTATGCAAAAATACCACCTTAACTAATTCAGATCTAGGATATAATGAAATAGGTGAATCAGTAGTAAAGGCACTGGCTAAAGCCATATGCCAAAATTCCACCTTAACTAATTTAAATTTAAGATGTAATAAAATAGGTGAATCAGGAGGAAAAGCATTGGCTGAAGCTTTATGTAAAAATACCACCTTAACGAATTTAGATTTATATGGTAATAAAATAGGTGAATTAGGAGGAAAAGCATTGGCGGAAGTTTTATGCAAAAAAACCTCCTTAACTAATTTAGATTTAGGATATAATGAAATAGGTGAATCAGTAGGAAAGACACTGGCTAAAGCTTTATGTCAAAATACCACCTTAACGAATTTAGAGTTAGGTTCGAATAATCTTGGTGCATCGGGAGGAAAAGCACTGGCTGAAGCTTTATGTAAAAATACCACCTTAACGAATTTAAATTTAGGTTATACCAACTTAAAAGAATCAGGAGGAAAGGCACTGGCTGAAGCTTTATGTAAAAATACCACCTTAACGAATTTAAATTTAAATTATAACAACTTAGATGAATCAGGAGGAAAGGCACTGGCTGAAGCTTTATTCAAAAATACCACCTTAACTAATTTATATTTAACATGGAATAATCTTGGTGAATCAGGAGGAAAAGCACTGGCTGAAGCTTTATGCAAAAATACCTCCTTAACTAATTTAGATTTGACATGGAATAATCTTGGTGAATCAGGAGGAAAAGCACTGGCTGAAGCTTTATGCAAAAATACCACCTTAACTAATTTATATTTAAGATCGAATTATCTTGGTAAATCAGGAGGAAAAGCATTGGCTGAAGCTTTATGCAAAAATACCACCTTAACTAATTTGGATTTAAGTTTGAATAATCTTGGTGAATTAGGAGGAAAAGCACTGGCTGAAACTTTATGCAAAAATATCACCTTAACGAATTTGGATTTAAGTTCGAATAATCTTGGTGAATCAGTAGGAAAAGCATTGGCCGAAGCTTTATGCAAAAATCCTACCTTAACTAATTTAGATTTAAGATGGAGAGATCAGGAGTAAAAGCATTAGATGAAACAAAAATAATTAAACATAATCTTTTAGTTTACTAAGACAACAGATTACACGCAAGATTGTATTAAAAATTAATAAAGATAAATCCATTTTGTATTTGTGAATTTTAAACATTTTACCAAAAGTTATTTATAAACGACATCGTCAATAATTAGTTTGTAACCAAAATTTACAAAACTTGTAAATATATAATATAACTCAAAATAGAATTCAATAAAATTTTTGTTTTAAAGTCATCTAAATATTATTATTTATGCTATGAATTTTAGTAAGTTTAAAAATCGATGTCTGGTTTTCCTTCGGTGGCACTCATATATAGGGTGGAGAACGGGCCGGCCCGTGGACTTTTTTAGAAGTTAATTTGGGCCACGTTCCAAATGTGGGTCACATAGTAATTTATCGAATGACCAACACTTTTGGGTGTGACCCAAATTAATTCCGTTTAGGCTCGTGCACTGGCCAGTTCCCCACCCTAATCATGTATTAACAGCAGAGACCGTTGACTGACCCTTCACCTGGTGTGCAACATATAAAAAAATATTTTACAATACCATGCATTCCGCTAGTACATGTTATGATTATAATCCAACACCATTTTATTATGTTGAATTATAATCATAACATGTACTAGCGGAATGTTCTGGTATTGAGATCAGTCGTGTAACATCAACGGTCTCTCCTGCATCATATATTATTGAAGTAGGAATTAGTAATACTGTAATCGAGCTAATAATCTAACGAACACATTTTTATTACATATATTCTGTTTACTTTTACTTCACACTAACCAATTTGGCTAGTTAATTCAATTACTAATTATATAATTAGAATTTACCTAATATCAATGAAATGAAATGTACTAGCTTTCTGCTTTAACGTTGCTTCTTTAACGGATATATGTATGTTAGATATGATCTGATTTCGGATGTTTAGTCGATAGAAGAAAGTAAAAGTATGTAATGTAATATTCATGGTTTTTTCTTAACTAAATGCTATATTTTTGATGCCTTGGCATTATGGTTGTGTTACATAAGTTACAATTTTACATTAATGTAATTTTACGTAAGATTCAGATTAATGTAATTTTCACACATTATACATAAAGTACCAGATTTACAAAAAGTTTGGCCAGAATTATTGCATCATTTTATTTGAATGTATGATCCGAATTGTAACTCCTAAATTTGATTTCAGCCATATGTTCAAAATTACTATTACATGAAAATCACAAATCAAATTATTTATGTTGGATTCAATTGTGATGAATAAAATCCCTCACCAGTTCTAATTGGTCTGGAGCGAAGGGGAGCGAAGAGGTTCGATTTATTCAAATTTATGATAAAATGCAAAAGCACGAAAGAATTTATACGCCTAAACAAAGATCGCAAGAAATTATGCTAGAAGATTAGTTTCGATGGCACTTGAAGGACAGTTATCGAAAGAATGAATCAACAAAAAGTCAAGTGCAAACGATTGTATAACTGATAAATTCATGAGATTTTACTTTTTTTAGAAAGGCAAAATATTTTTGTCATAATATTCTAAAAAAAGGTTTGCAATACAGTCATAAATCGAATACCTAATATTATCACAAACCGTAATAGGCATTAGCGACGAGAAATTTGCTATAGGTTTTACATTTTTTGTTATATCAAAAGGTCGTGCTCTTGCTCATCTAGTTACAAAAATTGGAAGTACAGATATTACTTTCTTTATACTTTATTAAATGAACTATTTATGTCTTTCATGAATTATTTATGTTTGTTAACTGTAAATTTATAAAATATGTATTAATGAATAGGTTTTTAATATAAATTTACGAGTTGGATTTTTATTGTATTATTTAATATATTATACTGTATAAGCTACAGTACTAACTTTACAGTTTTTTTAAAAAAAAAAATTAGAACATGATATTTAAGGCCCCAGCCCTATAAAATGCCGCCATTTCATTACTAGTATATGTGTAACATTAACGGTCTCTGCTGTAACAAAAGAAGATTGCTGATTGTGTAACCGCGACATTTTTTTGCCATACTAACCCACTTCGGGATTTAATAATTTTTCCCAAAGTTCCTATGGTCTGGAATTATTCGCACCAAATTACATGTCATTTTATCCTTAAAAAAATTAAGGTCATCAGAATCAATAGACTATTTTATAGCAAAATCTTGTAAGGAATTTTTTTTTGTTGGTGCGTAAAAGGCGATTAATGAGATTTTTCTCGATTTTATCCAAATAGAAATCCGATTTAGTCACGCCAACAGTAACTTGTGGACCCCATTTCGATTAAATTCACACTAAAATATAATACTTTGTAACATGCCCGAAATAAACCGGATTTAAGTTTTAAGAACCGGTTTATCTGAAATTTACAACCGGTTTAAGATATTATAAAAGCGATTTAATATTAAATCGGGTTAACCCGAATTTATACCCTAATTTTATTAACCGGTTCCACCTCTATGCCAACTTCAAGCAAAATACGCCCGCCCTATGACGGTTAAAAAAAAAAAAAAAAAAAAAAAATCGGAGTGTATTAAATTCCAGCAATACAATAAGTATCATTCTTAATTCACACTATATTAAAAAATTTCTTAGCAATTGTTGAGACGACTAAATACTAACCCATAATTTGTGATATATCAAGAACAATGCTTTAAAATCATCGCTGTTGGGAATCACCAAACACTAAGATATTCCAAACACACATCAATATTTTAAGATATAGATCTTTATATTTCCATAATGAATTGGCAAATATTAACAAAGATAAAACGATTAATTTAAACCATGGGGATGGGGTCCCGTAGCCTAGTGGTCTAGGCGCCCCTTTTTTCACAGACAAGGTCAATGGTTCAATTCTAGCTGGAGGCAAAAACTCTGTAATCTATAGAAGCATATGAATGTACATAAAGCTTTGTGGTTTAAGTCTATGTGAATAGAAGATCAGTATATAAGGAAGTTTTCAGAAAGAAGTTTCCCAATATGGAGAGTTGGTGCTTGATGCGAGAGAAGTGGTGAACATACCAGAAATGGAAAGAAGGCACACTAGCAGGTGATATAATAAATATAAAAGAAAATTATAGGAAAGAAATTGGCTTACTAAAATTCAAACACTTTTGACATCAAACTGGTTTAATGGATACAGGATACACTAAAATAGATAAAATCTAAGAGGTAATCTTGGTATTATATTTAGTAAGTTTGCATTGAGAATAAATTTGAAGGACTATAGATGCTTAGTAATATCTAATAAAGTAGTACTTAGATATAAATAGTAATAAGATAATCTTAATCTTTTCTGTTTTATCATAATAATATATATTGTATATATATGCAGTAAGTATTGAAAACCAGAAAGTTTAAATAAGAGACTCATAAGTAGGTCTTAAGTATGGCATCTAGTGGGTAACTTATGAGCAGAACCCTTAATTAGATAATGATTAAAGTTATATATGTGACTAGTTATACTTTTATTAATATATCTTGTATATAATATATAATCTTATATTACTAATAATAATAAAGACACAAAGGCAAGATCATCTTTAAAAAATAAAAAAATTTAATTTAAACCATATTTTTATTCAACAATTTAAAATAATTATTAAATAAGTTATATATTATTGATGAACTAGTAAATAAAATCTTTGTTTAAATACTTATATATTACAAATAAATTTTCTATTTAAATTTAAAGATTTAAATAAAAAAGAGTTCATTAATATGATGGTTATTTAGCTTATATATATATGTAAACTAATTTTATAAATTTTGAAATAAAGATACATTTATATAGATGTAATTTTGTTAAAAAAAAATAAAGATGCATTATTTATTTTTAATCTTATTTTTGTTACTTCTGAGTTTCACCTTAATGAATTAGCAAAATACTTTGAAACTTAATTAATTAAAAAAAAATATATCTGGCTTTATTTAAGTTTCATACACATTTATCATAAAAGTTTCCTAAAATGAAAAACTTTAAAAATTATAAAAATAGATAAAAATATTGTAGCAAAATATTTATAAAAGATTTTCAAATTAAAAGATTTTGTCTCACATTCAGAAAACAATACTTTTAGTCATTAAGTGAGATAATTTATAAATAGAAGAAGGAAAATTTCAAAAACATGTTATTAAATAAAGAATTGCTCAAAATGTGAATTTATCATTCAATCTTAAAGAATAGTTTTAAGAAGACTACAGAATTGTTTATCTTTTATTCATTATTTTCAAATATCAAATAATGATATTTATAATAAAGTAAAACTATATAAAAATATTCTTAACAAAAATATTTGGGATGATATACTAAAAAGATTTATTGCACAAAATAGATTGATGTTCTTTTACCTTATAAGATTTTAATGCTATCCAGAGTAACTTAACTGTTTCCTTTGAATGTTATTAGTAAAGAACATATAGCAGAAATTGCATTATGGATTGATAAGAAAGATGAAGTATATTCAGTAAAGAATAATCTATATATAAGTTTAAATTACTTCTTTGTAAAACAAGTGATGGTTTTATAGTACAATTGTTTTGAAATTTATATAACAAGCAAGTAAACATTGTTGTAGTAATAAAACTTAATAGTATTAATGAAATTTTTGATAAATACAATCTAATACAATAGTAAATAACAATAATAACTTTATTTTTTAATTGAAAAAATGAAACTATTAAAACATCTATTTTAAATTATATGAAAACCCACAATATACAATTTATTCTAATTATAATTATGAACTAACTTTTAGTAATAGTTATAAAATTTGGTATAATTTCAATTAAAATAATAATTATTATGTTTATATGAAAAATAAATTAGAAACCAAAATGATCAATCTTTTTTTGTATAAATTCAGAAAGAGTAAAAGTCTATTAAGTAATTTATTTAGTATATACAGTATATATGATATTTAGAGTATACAAACTTTATAAACTTAGTTAAGATTAGCTTGACTATAAATAAATAGAAT